TCTTACGCCGTCCGCGACTGCTCGTTCTATTCCCTCCTCGTCCTTCATCACCGCGTTCACGTCCACCATCACCCCCTCTACCGCTTATCCGTCCGACCCCCTGAACGCCTATGCCCACCTCAGCATGCCAAAGCCCTTGTCCACCTCCTACTCCTGGACAAGGTAGAGCAGGAGGGCAAGGCGGCGCAACAACCGAACAATGCCTTAGTGTGAGTACGTGCTCTGAGAGGGACTGACCCATCCTTATCCGCCCCCGGTTCTCAGACGCAACCGAACGGACATCCTGGAGACCTTACTGTCGGCGCGCATACTGGGCCGCTGCCATTCCGGCGTGCCGCTCGTGCGCGCAGCATCTCCAAAATTGTTGCGCTGTTCAAACGCCTCGATGTCGACGTCACTACACGTTGGCGTCAAGAGCATCAGCTTGTGCTTGAGTCCGAACAATGAAGGAGCGACCCGGAGCTGCAGAAGCCTGCCACTCTTGACATCCTTCTCGCGTTCGAGGACTACAGCCGCGTGCGGGAGCGAGAGTTTGAGGAGCAAATGCGACGTGCACAGGTCGAGAAGACCCGCAAGGAGCGTAAGGCGCGAGAGGCGTTCAGGGTGCGTATGAGATAGGCTACAGATTGACCTACGATACTGACCTAGGACGCGTGCCCAGGACGTTCTCCAGTCCCTCGTCAAGTCTGGCCAAATGAAGGCCCGCACAAAATGGAAGGATGTGTATCCGTCCTTTTCGGATGACATTCGCTACCTCGACATGCTGGGCAATCATGGCTCGAATCCGCTCGAGCTCTTCTGGGATCTCGTCGACAACCTTGATCAGCAGCTGGATGCGAAGATTGCCGTCGCCGAGGGCGCGATCAAACGCCATAGCAAGAAGCTCGAGGCGCAGCAGGAGAAGCAGGTTCCGGAAGGCAAGGAGATGAACCTGTTCAAGATCAGCCCGGAGACGTCGGAAGAGGAGTTCCTCGCCGTGATACAGGGTAACGAGGACGAGGACGTGCGCAAACTGAGTATGCAAGATCTGCAGGAGAGCTATCAAACCGTAAGCCAGCGTTCTTCGTCTACAGATGGAATCAAGAGCTGATGTGCCGCCACAGTTACACTCGCAAGCCATGAAGCAGCAGGCGGACGAGAGGCGCCGTGCGGAGCGGCGACAGCGCCATTTGCAGGACGATCTGCGTTATGCTCTCAGAAAGCTGTCCGAGCCTATCGATCTGAGCATGTCGTACGAAGAGGCAGGTCCCGAATTGACATCAAGATGTCTAGGACTAACATGCTTGCTCTAGGCTGACCCTCTTATGCAAGATCTGCCTGAATATAAAGCCATTGAGGATGAGGAGGGGCGAAAGGCTGCGTTCTCCAAGTATATAAAGCGTCAGAGGGCAAGTGTCCACCATCCTCTGACAGTGTCGTAAACTCACAGCCAAGTATAGGAGCGACTGCGTGAACGTGCGCGCGAGGCTTCCGAGGATGGCGGTTCAACGACGAGCCGTAAGCGCAAAGAGCTGCCGAAGGATGCGAACCCGAGCGCGAGCGAGATCGAGACCGCGACCACCGCGAGCGCGAGAGGGATGTTGAGAAGGATGCACATCATGACCGCGCTTCTCGCTCACATCGCGCACACGACGAGTATGATGCTCATCCTGCGAGTCGCACCTCACGGGATTATGCGCGCGAACGAGACTACTCACGGGACAAGGCACACACCCACGCGCGGCCCTTCCACGGCAGACCGGAAACCAGAGTCGCTTTGTGCGCAGCGGTTGTAGATCGAACGCCGTCCTGCGACCTGTCCTGTGCCCTCGAAAGAAGCGAAGTATGTCTGCTCAGCACGTCGAGGACGACGCCGAGCCCGAGGACGAAGATGCGCCCTTTGGGATATTCGCACTACGGGACTTGAAGGCACATGAGGAGGTCGTGCTGAGCTGGGAGTGGGACGACGGGAGCGTGATCCACCATCTGCTGGCGGTGATCAACAACCCGCACATCTTTCCGTACGTGCCCGTGTCCTCTACACCCGTGTATGCGCCTGCTCACGTCTATCGTAGGCCCCATCAACTGCACCAGTACCGCCAGCAGATGATGTCGATGCTGCACACGCTGTCCTCGACGTTTGCCACCTGCGCATGCGGATCAAAGACACGCGACTGCGCCCTCGCCCACATGGCTGAGTTTGTCGACTCGCACACGCCGCCGACGCCGACGCCGTCACCACCCACCCCCTCCGTATCGGACCGCGATGGCTGGTTAGGTGCGCGGGAGAGGGCGAGCGTCAGAGCGGAGGACGACCATCTCTGTGAGTCCATCAGGCGGCGTGTCGACCTGGGTCCTCTGGTCGGGCGCGAGCGGGGCTTTAGGACGCGCGAGCGGGTGCCGTCGTCGGGCGGGATGACGGGCATCGAGATGGTTCCGCCTCCACGCGCCCTTGTTGTGCCGCGACTACAAGAGCGTCAGACGTCGGAGTGCGGCCGCGGGCGTTTCGCAGGGCATGGATGCGCCGTCACGCAGCCTGAGCGCGAGTCGAAGACAAAGGCTGCACCGCGTGCGTCTTCTGTGCCGCTAGCCCATCACGCAAGGGACCGCAAGGGCAAAAGCGGAGCCATGCCCGCTGCGCTAGAGGACAATGACAACGCGATGGAGGTAGAGGAGCGCTTGCCGCCTAAGCTGCGTAAAGGTTGGATCAGGAAGAGTTTCGGGACGCTACGGGACGTCTACCAGCGCGATGCGGGAGACGCGCTAACAGTTTCCCATAACGAGGCGGGCGTGGCAGGCGAGCGCGACGATGCGCGGATGGACGTGGACGAGGTTGTATTTGGTGAGTTCAGTCGGCTGGTGTCGTCCGGACCATGCACTGACGGCTTGACGCCGCTCCTAGATCCGCGCGAGATGCCCCCACCACCCTTGCCGCTACCTCACTCTGTGGCGCATCAGTCACTGAGCCCTCGACTTTCTATTCTTTCCTCCACCTCGCCCGCCCGCGCGCTGCCAAAATTGACCTCGAGCGATGGACAGATATCCCCTTCGACTATTATTGCTAAATTATCGCTGCTTTCGCCTTCTCTCTCCTCGCCTCCTTCGTTAGACTCTGCTAGTTGCCTTTCGCCCCCTCCTGCTTCCGCTAATGTGCCTGTATTATCACAGCCCGCCCCTGCCGACCCGTCGTCGCATCAGCGCTCGTATACTGCTGTTGAGCCGAGCCTGATACCCACCGACAATATGCATACTCAAATCGCAACCCGGCCGCCTCCTCCTGTCGAAGATCCCGCCGCCTCTCTGTCCTCCTCGTCTCTGAGGCTACTCTCCAGGGTTACTGTCAAGTTCTCATTGCCCGCCCAAGATTATTGTCCTGACGAGCATGACGCTAAGCCCATGGACGCCATCGACCCACCTGCACAGCCGGGGCGTCGAGCGTAGATGACTGCGAAGTAAAGTACGCGTCGTCCGTGTAGACGAGAGAAAACTTACGGGACATTTGATGTACTCGATACAGGACCTGCAATGAACGGCGGCGCGCATCAGGCACTCACCCAGCTAACTCTGACATCGTCCATTTCCCGTCGCGCAGCTCGATCTTGCATGCGGTGGCTGTCACTAGCTGAGCAGCGCTGCGCGCAATCCGTCGAAGCTTGATCGTTCCCAAACACATCTCGCTCATCAACGGCCAGCGCGTCAAGGTCGGCCGCCAGACCAACGCCAAGACCGTTCCCGCCGAGCGTAATGGGTACTTCGACTCGAAGGTGCTCTCGCGCCAGCACGCCGAGGTGTGGGAGGAGGCTGCCAAGGTGCGCACCGACCCGCGCCCGCTCTCCGCGGCGCACCTGCCGCGCGCGCGCACGCGGATCCGTGGACGCTGACCCACTGTGCCCCAGATCTTCATCAAGGACGTGAAGAGCACTTTCATCAACGGCGAGCGCCTCAGCCCCGAGGGCGTCGAGTCCGAGCGCTTCGAGCTCAAGTCGGACAATATCGTGGTGCGTATCTCCGCGCTCTCCCTGCCCGTGCCCCTCCTTACGCAGCAGCGCAGGAATTTGATGTCGACATTGTCGACGAGGACAACAAGACCATCATCCACCACAAGGACGCCGCGCGCGTCTTCACCGAGCAGGAAGCGCAGGCCGCTGCGCGCGCGGAGGCGCAGGAGGGCCCCGACGCGTACGGTGTTGGCGCGGGCGGTGGTGCGCCCCCTGCAGCGGGCGTGTTCAGCGTCGCGCCGGGCCAGCCGCCCAATGCGCCCAGGCAGCAGCGCCGCCTGTTGCTCCAGCAAGGCCTCATCGGGCTCGGCGACCGCTGTCCGCACACGACCCCTCCCTGGCGCCCCTTCTCCTCACTCTCCCGTCCCTCACGCCCTCTCTCGCCCTCGAGGTCCGCCCCTCGATCCTCTCTGCAGCCCTCCGCTGACTCTACCCACAGGTTCTCCCCCTCGGCGTCACCCTCCACCGCCTCTTTGTCCAAGCAGATACCAAGGCATGTACGCTCCCCTCTCCCCACCCACGCGCTCTCACCCGTTCACAGACGCACAACATCCTCATTGGCCCCGAGCTCCCCGCTGGCCACCTCACCCAGAAGTACACAAACACCATCATCGGCCGCTACGCCAACCGCGTCCCCGCAGGCACACACCCCGTCTCCCGCGCTGGCGTCCAGTCCTCTCTGACCGCTGCCTCCAACGAGTCCCCCTCCATCTCCCTCCACGGCGGCCTCTCCGGCTGGGACCTCGCCCCCTGGGATCCCCTCCCTGACCTCTCCGCCGCCACCCTCTTCTCCCCGACGAGCAGCAAACCATCGCCGCAACCCTCCCGTCCGCCTGCGTCTTTGTCCGCGAGTCTCCCGACGGTGAAGAGGGCTACCCTGGCCGCCTGCGCGTCGAGGTCCTTGTCGGCCTTGCCCAAATCGGCTTCTCGGCAGCGTCGTTCTCATCTATCGTGCCCGTCTTCTAGACACTGACAAGGTCACCCCCATCAATCTCACCCAAGTACGTCTCCTATTATCTCATCCCGCCCTCCGTGCTTACCGTCTCCGCAGCACTGGGGCTTCAACCTCGACGCCTCGCTCCAGGATGGCCAGTCTGTCAAAGACCACACCCTCACCATCCGCGTATGTCCTTCCTCTGCAACTAGTGATCCAGGACGAGCAGAACGACATGCGGCGTGCACTCTCCTTGTACGTAGATGCACGTACGCGCATCACGTCGCATGTCGCTCAGTGGGACATTCCGTTTGTCGCACTTCCTTTTCCTGCACTGATATCCTCGTGGACTCGCCTTCGCTCTCCGCTCACACACACATGCAGTCCTCGAATACCCTCGAGCTCGCCCCCGACGCCAACTCGGCAGGCAGCCTCGCCCCCGTCGCAGGCACCCACCACGCCCACGCCGAAAAGACGACCCGCACCATCGGCGAGCGCTTCCCCGCGCAGGGCTACGGTGCGTCCAGCGTCCACTGTCCGCGACCCTCCCGCGCAAGCTCAGTCTCATCGCCCAGACGAGTTCTACCTGCTCGACAAGCGCGACGCGCCTGCTGCTCCCGTCCGAGTGCCTGCCGCGTCGCTGGCGGGTGCTGGCGACCTGGTGCACGCCGCGCTCGAGGACAATGGGGAGCCGGACGTTGAACTAGCGAGTGCAAAGAGCGGGTTGAAGCTGCGCTTCTTCTCGAACTGTGAGTGTTCTCCCTTGCCCAATCCTGATGACCATATCCCTATCCATTCTTTTCGCTCTGTATACACGCTAATCAGACTTTACAGAGTCGGGCGTGCAGTTCTACTCGAACAACTTCTCGAGCCCGGACGGCGCGCAAGAAGATCCACGGCGGCTCGGGTGCCGTGGGCGATGGATACGAGCCAGGATGTACGTTGTCTCGCTCGTTGTGCTACTTCTTGCACTGATGCGAGTGCTACATGCTCAGTGGTCGCGTTCCTCGATTTCCATGGGCTGCTCGCGGCGTGGCTCCACCCTGCGACTGTCGGGCGCATGGGCAATGACACGCTGCTCGCGCCAGATGAAGTGTACAACAACTACATGTGCCTGGATGTGTGGTACCACAGTTCGGAAGGGTTGTAGCAGTCCAGAACATAGCGCGTGGATGCGGAAGAGCAGAAATGGATGCAGATGTCGAATATACCAATACACATTGTAACTCCTAGCCAGATCATGCAAGATGTACCCTGTGTGGTGCGCAGCCGTGGCCTCTGTCTCCACCTTCTGGATATGTGTTGTTGTGCTTGTTGACAACCCACTCACCCCCTCATGCACGCTCGCGGACACCCTCGAGTGGTCTACCAACTGGCTACTTGACATGTGTGTATGTCACCGCATTGACGCGTATGATGACACCTCAGACCCCCGTGAGCATGCATGTGTGTGGGCTGCGCTTGCGCTGCTGACACCGCATATATACTGCTGGTGCAGCTTCAGCAACTATATGCTACATGTGGCCTCGCTGCCCCGTCCATATGCAGACTTCGCTGGCCACGTCCTGCTGCTCGTCAGCTTGCTTCTCGACAGCATCGACGGTTTCACGCCAGACCCAGAGCCTAATGCACCCAGCCACACGGACAGGATGCTATACACACCTAGCTATATAACAACGTCCCGAGGGCCCCCTCGGGCACTTTTGTCCCGAGGGGGCCCTCGGGACAACGCCTTTTTCTGATTTCAAATGATTCAATTTCGTCAAATCTCCTTGTGCTCATATCTTCTCCTCGTCATTGCCTCTTGCTCATCGTCGCCACCAACATTTTCACGATATCATCAATGATACTCTCAAAACTTGTCACATGCCTCTTCCCTCCATCATCATTGTCTTCTCATTGT